GACATAAAGTACATAGACTATGGTAAAATGGGCGGATGAGGAAAATGAGAAATATCTCAGGCTATAGTGTGCTTTCAAGCAAAAGGCTGGAGAAAAAGGGGTCAAAAATTGAGCTCTATTAAACTACTATTTCAGTTTAAAAGCTCATTTCAAAGGTGGACTATTTCCTTTAATGTTTACAGACCCTGAACAATAACCATTGCAAAAGTCACCGGGGTCCATTGAAACGGCCTGTGGCCCTGTTTCAACTGACCCTCAGAGAAGCGTTTCAATTGACCCCATCCGCTCCCGCCATCTCGCACGCGCCGTAAAGCACATGTCAAACGAGCTGGAGGGACGGCATCATGCTGAATGAAGGGCCAAATAAGGTGTTATTCCGGAGCCAGGAGTTCTTCTTTCAGCAAACAAAGGTATATGAGATATCACAAAATATTCATAAAAACGATTTCTCCCAAACGCCCCTAAAAAACACAAAAACAAGTGTCAAATCAAAATTACCGTCCGTTTGCCGCCCAAACGCCGTTGACAAAGGAAGTGGTCGAGCGCGGATGCGCAGTGGTGTCGGCAACGCCATATGTTGCATACTGTTGAAAATAAAGCCATGTTTCATCTGACCCCGTGTTTCAACTGGCCCCGCTCTCCCCTAACCCTTTTCTCGGTTTACTATACATTGTTTTCCTCTAAATGTGTAATGATGTCGAGACTGTCAGCGTGGTGCGTAAGTTTTATTCAATGAATTATCGATTCTTTTTTTTTGCACTGTCCTAATTATTCTTGTTGTGTATGGTTCATAGTGTTCATTCATCCTTCTAGCTCTTCTTTTTTTTTCTAAAAAAAAAAGAAACTTAGAGCGACTGTGGTAAGAAGACGAAACACGTCGGCGCCTTATATCGGCAAAGAGCAATCGAGACAATAATAGATATTAGATTTAATGAAGATGCATTTGTTTAACCCATTCCGGGACAGGTCCTTTTCCATAACGCGACCGGCCGGGGGTGGGGATGGGGGTGGAATGCGTCCGTCCATCTCCCCTTGTGCGATTAGCTTAGAAAATAGAATAGTTATATGACACTTAGAAGCACCAAATTGTATAGGGCAAGTGAAACTATATTCCGCGCACCGACGGGGGTCTGCGCCAACTTCGTACCGACGGGGGGGGGGGCGGATGACCGCCCCCCTGAGATCTCGAGAACGAAGCAAGATATTGACAAGCAGTTAACGGCATGGGATACGCACGGACAAGGTCTACAATTTTTACAAAGGTCATTTTCAGGTCAGATCAAAGATGACGTCACAGGGGTCAAAAAAGTCAAAATGGTGGCGCTAGATAGGTATGGAAAGAGTTTTTCTCGAATAACTTTCGAATTAATAAAGATAGGAACAAACTAAGGGCATCATCGTGATTCTCTCGTCAATCCGCATCGAATGATATATATGTTGACCTCGAAAGGTCAAGGTGAAAGTTTGACCTCAGGTCACGTGACCTCGAGGTCATCATGTGTATCATTCGATGCGTCTTGACGAGCTGAACACAATGAGACCATCCGCGCGGCTGTATCTTGTTCCTGTACGGAGTTATTGGCAAAAAACCTTTGGTGACCTTTGATGACGTCACATGACCTCACAGCTGCCCAACAGCAAAACAGACCTCAAGGTAGTGAAGCTTGATCGTATATGAAGTCATGTACATATGGTATATGGGGCCATTCCGACCCGTTTTAGTGGTAAAAACAGGGAGTTGATTTTCCCCCCATTGACTTATAATGGGGAGGTCGAGAAATTGACCTGACCTTAGGTAATCAAAATTCCGAGATAAACAAATTGTAGCTACTAATGACCTAATAACATACTGCGACTTTCAAACGCCTCCGACATCTACTGTACGAGGGGCGTTCAAGAAGTTCTCGGCCCGACCATGAAGGAGCAGAGATACGATGTCGACTTATTAGACAAAAAAAATGTTCATTTAGTCAAATAACCAGCGTTAAGACAAAAATATTTCGCGCAGCGCTTCGCGAGAGGCCCCTGGGTCTCCATAGCCAAGTGGGTTTTGGACGCATCTGGCACGTCCAAAACGGCTGCTTTTGTCTCCTTGCTGTCAGCGAAGTTGCCACTGCTAAGCAATTTCCTTATGTTGGGGAAGAGGTGGCAACCTGAGGGTGCAAGGTACAGAGAAAAAAGTGTCTGTGACAACAACTCGAAGCCACAGCTCACTGCTTCGCTGATCGTCACCCTGCTCATGTGTGCTGGTGCGTGGTCCTGGATCAGGCGCACACTTTTAGTCAGCTCTCCTTGATATCTGCCCTCGCTAGTGTTATCGAAGGGAGTTGTAGCATTCATCATTAATTGTGCGCCCCTGTTTTAGAAAGTTGACGAGCAGAGCCCCGCCATCATCCAAAAATGCAACCACTGTCACCTTGCCGTCTGACTTAAACACGTCGCACACATTTGGTGGCCTTTACTCAGTGTGCTTCCACTTGTGCAACTCGGTCACGCCCTGAGGGTCAATGTGTGACACCCACAATCCCTCCACGGTAACAAGTAGTTCAATGAACTCGTTTGGATCTTCGATATAGGGGCCAAAATTTTCGCGTTACGCCTCCTTTCGAGTTTCCCTTTCCTCTGGTGTCAGCAAACGGGGGATGCATCTTGCAGAGATCTTAAACATATTAATACGCTGTCGAAGAATGGCTTTGAGGAACCTGATAGACACCTCCGCTTCTGCTGCGTTGTTTCAGACCAGAAAATTTGTCATTTTTCACAAAGAAGTGCTTATTTTTCATATTTTCTTGAGTCAATGCTGTTGGTGGCTGGCCACTACGGGGGTGACCATTAATGATCTGTTGACCAAAATTGAACAGAGATGCTCACTTTTTGACGCTACTGTAAGAAAGACAAACCTCAACATGTGTTGGCACTAGCTTTTCGTGAATAACGTTTGGTGCATTTTTCTGCAATACATGAACCAAATCACTGTTCTCTTCTGGGCGTCGCCCATTCTGACCGGGAATAGCAAACTATGTTACGACTAATTGGCAGCCTGAACCAATCACAGGGCAGATTGGTTAATGGCTACGTAAGTGGACATCCCAATAACACATCATTGAACACACCGCGTTGCAGGCCGAAATTCCAACTCCTTCATGGCTGGGCCGAGAACTTTTTGAACGCCCCTCGTAGCTCTGGCACGGTGACAACGCTGCAAAAAAGTGACTTGAGGTTGGGTCATTCAAAGTGACCTGGTGACCTGACCTTAACCCGCGCACCGACGGGGGTCTGCGCCAACTTCGCACCGACGGGGGGGGGGGCGGATGACCGCCCCCCTGAGATCTCGAGAACGAAGCAAGATAGCGACAAGCGGTAAACGGCATCGGATACGCACGGTCAAGATCTACAATTTTTACAAAGGTTATTTTCAGGTCAGGTCAAAGATGACGTCACAGGGGTCGAAAAAGTCAAAATGGCGGCGCTAGGTATGGAGAGAGTTTTTCTCGAATAACTTTCGAATTAGTCAAGATAGGAACAAACTAAGGGCATTATCGTGATCCTCTCGTCAATCCGCATCGAATGATATACATATATGTTGACCTCGAAAGGTCAAGGTCAAAGGTTGACCTCAGGTCACGTGACCTCGAGGTCATCATGCATATCATTCGATGCGTCTTGACGAGCTGAACACAATGAGACCATCCACGTGTCTGTATCTTGTTCCTGTACGGAGTTATTGGCCAAAAACCTTTGGTGACCTTTGATGACGTCACATGACCTCACAGCTGCCCAACAGCAAAACAGACCTCAAGGTAGTGAAGGCTGATCGTATATGAAGTCATGTATGGTATATGGGGCCATTCCGACCCGTTTTAGTGATAAAAACAGGGAGTTGATTTTTCCCCCGTTGACTTATAATGGGGAGGTCGCGAAATTGACCTGACCTTAGGTCACCGATATCAAAATTCCGAGATATACAAATTATAGCTACTAATGACCTAATAATATCCTGCGACTTTCAAAGGCCTCCGACATCTACTGTAGCTCTGGCACGGTGACAAAGTTGCAAAAAAGTGACTTGAGGTTGGGTCATTCAAAGTGACCTGGTGACCTGACCTTAAAAGGTAGGAGGTTCAAACTTGCACACCATGTGTAAAATTGATGAAAGTATAGTCATACCAAATTTCGCGTTCGCGAAAAACCTCAGGGGGGGGGGGCGGATATCCGCCCCCCATCGGTGCGCGGGTTAAAAGGTAGGAGGTCCAAACTTGCACACCATGTGTAAAATCGATGACAAAATAGTCGTACCAAATTTCGCGGCGCTATACGCCGCGGTTTTCCCGCTATTCGCGAAAAACCTCAGGGGGGCGGACATCCGCCCCCCCCCTCGTCGGTGCGCGTGATATACATAAATTTTCGACCCTTTGCACACTTTGTGGCCCCTAGGTCAATATGTAGGAGTTCGAGGAAAATATATAAAAAATGCTAGAAATGGTCAAAAGTTTGGATTACATTGTCTTGCAAGTGATAAGTGAGGCGTTACAAAGTTCACTCGACTTGACGTCAACGGTATACAAATCCAACAGTTTTGTACAATATTGTAAGCCGTATCAAGCGCTGCAGTTCCGTGATGTGTGATCGCTTGACGGGTCCTGGTGAACGGACATTTATTCATCTGGGTTTGAAATGCTTCCAATATATGTTAAATATATCAATTATAATATATTTAAACTCTGTGTGAGGGATGGGCTTGAAAGCTCATCTCGCCACAGCGTATTGTATGTATGCATTTACGATCATGGGCGATCCACGCATGGCGTGGCTATTACGGCTATTACTGCCCCCCCCCCCCCCAGTAAATGAAGCTGCAATACGCTCTGTTGCACTGCGTTGTTGCCAGTACTCATAGCCATTCAATGATCATCCCCCCCCCACCCCCGCCTCCACCCCCTCAGCAGTACCCCCTGCTGGTTAGGTATAAATAGGGCGGCAGTAGCGCGCTGTAAACATTCAGCGACACGATGGCGGCGCTCACCCCCCTCCTGTTCTGTTCCGGTCTGGTCCTGCTGCCGCAGCTCTCCGGGGCTGCCTGTCCACACCAAGAGGCCGGGATCAACCTGTGGAGCTCCAATGCCACCTGGCCCTCTGGTGCTGTAAGTACCTACTGGGTGGCTTTATTTGAACGTAGAGCATCACTACCATATCATTCATAAAACTAAGCGGACTGTCTATGAATGAATCTTTTCAACCATCCCATAAATGACTTTACCTTGGAAGTTGGAGGTCTGTTCAAGGCTCAGTGGAACGCGAATTAAGCGTTAAGTTGTATATTTTTATAGTTTTCATGCTCTTGATGTACAACATTACGGCTTAAAATATGATTATTGATTAGAGTTAACCTTCCAGGCGGTGGGGGGGGGGGCATTTTTTGCCCCCCTTTAGTTTTTTCAATATATCTCGAGAACCGCTGCGCCGATCGTCACCAAACTTTCAGTACCCTCCCGGGAGCAGCTAGCGCACATGGTGACCAAAAATGTTTTCCAAAGGCTATGATAGGTTGGCCGCTAATGACGTCAGAGTGACGTCATTTTTGCCATTTTCGACCCAAAAAAAGGTTTCGCGGGAAGAGCTGTCAGGCCTACAGCTTTAGAGATACAGACAAATGTTTCAAACATAAAAGGTGTGGAATTAAAAGTGCTACAAAACTGCTATTTCGGTTTTTCGAATTTTTTGGATTTTGACCCCCAAAAATCAAAAAATAGATTTTTTGAATATAATAGCCAAAAAATCCATAAATTTTTTTGAATTTTGGAAAAACCGGAATATATGTGATAGCCCCTACCGCCTTCTATCTACATACCAAATTTGAGATCGATACCTCTTTTTTTGGCCAAGTTATAGCGAAAAAAACTGTTCAAAATTGATGACGTCAAATTTTCAAACTCAATTTTTAGCAATTCTAGACCTCGTAGCGCAAAACAAAGACCACCATTAGACTCCCCGTGACGAGCTGCATCGAATCGATACCCATTTTATGCAAAAATATTAACTTTGAAATTTGACCTTTTTTGACCTGACCTTGACCTGACCTCCACCAGAAAGTGACCTAAACCGTACCTGATGGTCTTGTAACCAACACCATTGAGTTGGAAATGAAAAACTGGCCATAAAACATGCATCGCATAGCCTTATTGGGCTCATGCCTGACGCCTCCGTGATCTAGACACTCTGTTGGCTGAGTAAAGGCCGATCGCCCACTGGTGGCAGTTCCTGCTCCTGGAACCACCCGCCACAGTGGGGTCACGACAGGAAAAAAAACAAAGAAGAACAAAAAAAATTGTCGAGACCATGACCGATGGTCCGTCCCCTTCGCTGGCTCGTCTCTGACTGTCCTATATCCCGCGCTCCCCTCGTGCCTCCCGCCCCAGCCCGCCCGCTCCGCTTATCTCTCTCTCTCCCACCCTCCCTCCCTCTCCCTCGCTCTCTCCGGCATCTGTCTGCCCTCGCCCAACGCCTCTTAGCCGGGGGCCGCTAAGTTGCCAGTAAAGTTGGGCTCATGTGGTGACCCTTGGTGACCTTTGGTGACCTGACCTGTGACCTGACCTGGTATGACCAGTGACCTCTAATAGCAACATATGTACTAGACAACTGACGCCTTATCGCTGATTTTCGACAAAATGCGTTTTACTCTGTGTTATAGCGCTTTCCCTAGAAGCCCCGTGAACGGTGAAACATTTTACCTTTGACCTGACCTGTGACGTCATCGGTGACCCCGAGGTCAATGAAATTTGGTTTCCTTCGACAAATTTGACAGGGCTATCGAACGCCGTTTGAATTTTCCGGATCCGTCCAGTAGTTTCGGAGATACGGGGGTGGGCAAAAAAGTGCCCCCCCCCCCCCACCGCGCGGAAGGTGGCTGGTAGGCCCACCGCCTGCCGGGTTAATCTACACCGCGTAGGGCTATTGCCAGACCCTGACCGGAGCGACGTAGGGGATTTTTTTTGCAACCCTTGTTACCTTAGAAATTGGCCATGATTAGCCTCGTTTGAGATCTCCCAGGCGGATTCATATTTTCTTATTTTTGCTGTGACACTACCGATAAAGTCACAGGACTGGTCAGAATATGTATTCATTGCTATCAGGTCATGCTATGCTGCACAGGCCACACCATAGAAGGCTGCTTAATTGCAAAACTGTGTCATAATGATGCACGTTTTGTGGCCAATGTTGTATTGCAAATAATGGTCTTTGGATCACCAGGAACGGTGAAGACTAATTTGACCTGATGGTGAGGTCATTATTATGTTGAACAGACAACTTTTTCTTTTTGTATGAAAGGCTGTCTACTGTACATATATCCGACACAACACGTCATGAGGAATCAGATGGTGATTTAACCTATGCGGCGCTTCGTGACCTAGAGTGGTTGAAAATCAAGCTTGAAAATAGGATGTCTTTGATTTTGGGTAGCTTTGGTCGTATTTTATACAACACTAAGAATCGAACAACTTAGCCAAATCTGACATGATTTAATGGTCCTGGCGGAGGCGTGTCATGCAATTTTTAATGTTGAGACTATTTCTATTTTACTGTTTTCGAATATTCTAAATATTTTCTTGTCCCAGTTATATAGAGAAGTCTGTGTCCCAACATATCAAGGATCAAAATCCGAGGTAGGTACCTGTTAGCACCGGCGGCTGCAGGCCGGGCCGCCCGGACCTCCGAGCGGGCCATGTGGCGGCCGGCCGACCACGTGGCGCTCGGGGCTATGCCGGCACTGAGCTGGCTCATTGTAAGCGGCCCCGTGATTGGCTGTGTGGGCTCCTGCCCTCGGGGCGCCGGCGAGGTGACCTCGGGTCGGCGCACGGGGCTCGAGGGGAGTTCGTTCTGAATGCTCGGCGGGGAAGTGCTCGCTGTGTGGGCGGAAGTGGTGCTCTGGCTGTGGTGTGGTGGTGGTGCTCAATACAGCAAGTGAAAATATCTTAACTGGTGTGGAGAGGAGCTGGACCAGTGGAAAAAGGGAAGGGACAGTGAACAGCAGCGAGTCTTCTCAGCGTGCGAGTAGCCGATCATTTCCTTCCATCCGGGACTCATAACACGGCCTCTTCCGGGGTGTGTGAGGGAGGCGGCCACAGTGTCTCGCCATCGAGTCACTGAGCTTAAACTCGTTCCCCGGGTCTTGCCATCGAGACTCGGGTGCGGGGTCTCCGCTCAGACAGGGGTGCGACCAGTCGGCTCCGGCTAACCTCGCCATCGAGGCGCCGGAGTATCGGTTGATCTGTCCGATTACAGTGGTCTCGCCATCGAGAGGCTGGAATCGGGCAGCGGCTGGCGTCTTCCTCACCATCCTTATCTACCCATCGCTCTCCTACAGTCCTTGTCTATCATCCGGCTAAATAAGTGTCGTTGGCGTGTGAAATACCAGAGGACACGTGGCGACAGTACCAGTATAACGCCTTTTGGGGCGACTAACGGAGCGAACGAGAGGGTGGGCCTTGCACGTGCGAAATTGCGAGGGGGTACCTCAAACTGACTGGTGTACGGCACCCTACTAATCGGTCTCTAGCGATGGGCCAAATTTGGGCACAATCAGCCCAGCCGTTCTCGAGATCTGGAAGCGGCACCCTGCACGTGCGCACGTGCAAAATGGGTCCCAGCTGACTTGTGCACGGCACGCTACTAACCGGTCCCTAACTGTGTACCAAATTTGAGCGCAATCGGTCGAGCCGTTCTCGGGATCTGGAAACGACCCCTGCACGTGCGCACGTGCAGCAGCACCCCAACTCTGGCACATGGATATGTAGTGCCTAGTGGGTGCCTACCTACATGCCAACTTTCAGCACAACCTGAACCGGCCAAGTAGTTACCGAGATAGTGCAACAATTACAAAACTGACACCTCTTCGTTTTGCACGTGGCACGTGCATAAGGGGTCACCCACATGCATCAGGAATAGTCCAATACTTGGTAGAAGGAATGAAGCTACCCTACAAAAATTACCGCGTGTAAATCGGTCAAGTGGTTGCTGAGATATAAGCCTCGCAAAAGCGTCCGCACGGCCGGCCGGCCGCTCATACTCAGAAATTTTCGTTAACCCGTCCGGGCCCGGGGGGGGGGGGGTAATCCCAACCACCGCAGCCCGGGGGGGGCCTTTTTCGTCCCCCCCCCACTGTCTAACTCCGTAAATAAGGGAGCTACGGAAACAAAACCGATACTAATCGAAAGGTCCTTACGCGACGATTCTAAATTAACTGAAGTCAGTTTTTCAGATGAACAGAGTAATAATAATCAAATTTTAATATTCCGCAGTTGATTCATAACTTTCAATTTACCTTAGTGCTGAAATCAAGTTTTACAGTTGGAGTTTTAACAGCAATACTTGTATTGTACGTACTTATTCAATTTATGAATGCTCAAATAATTAGTTTTATGCGAACGTAAACAGAATATTGTTGGTTACAGAGCGTATCGTCTAATCGTTACTCACACCACGATTGTGGACAGGTGCCTTCCGGAGGTGACGTCACCATCAACACCAGTGTCCTGCTGGACGTGAACTCTGCGCGGATGGACACTGTCACCATCACCACCGGCGGGAAGCTGGTGTTCGATCCGTCCGCCGACTCGGTCCGGCTGAGCGCCAGCATGGTGGAGCTCATGGGCGGAGAGCTCTGGATCGGGTCCGAGGACTGCCACTTCACCGGAGACGCCGAGGTCCTCCTGACGGGGAAACGTGACGAGAGTGCCGGAGCGCCCAGCGTGCAGAAGGCCGTGGTTGTTCATACGGGTAGGCTTGAGGTTCACGGGAAGCCCAAACGTCCGTGGACTCAGCTTTCAGGCACACTGAACAAAACGACGAGGGAGGATATGATGGGTACACCCATCTACAGCGTGTCTGATAATGATGACAGCTTCTCTCGATCTGGGTTTCGGATGGTTGAGTTCAACGCGACAGGACATCCTGTGAAAAACTGGGGTCGAGTCTCAGGTGCTAGTAAGTTCAACCAAGTCGCATCCAACACGGGAAACGTTGTTGCGGTTGTTATCTCTCGAGAGGCTAAGTTTGACGGAAATGACATCGCAGCAACTGCTGCGGCCTTCGAATCACTATGCTTCAACGACACCAAAGAGTCTGAGATTCGTAACATGGTCGAGGGGCAGCGGGTTGGATTCGCAGCCATCTGTCACATCGGAACCCCCGCTAATGGTGTGGAGACTGTCGGCACGTCCATCAACTACAGGTCTCAGACGGGCTGGCTGACGCAGACTGTCGGCAGCGTCGACTTCGCTGCAATGTCTGTAGTATCGCTGACCGGAATCAACTCTGAGGGCCAAGTGGAGGCGGCGTCTTACGCTACTGGGACGGTGCCGTCCCTGGTAAGGACCATCACACTGGACGACTCCGTTGGCTCATGGAAGGAGGGAGACTTCATTGTTATGGCCTCAACGGACTATGACATGCTGCAAGCGCAGGAGTTTGAGATAGTCGAGTGTAACTCCTGCGCGAACAATCAACTAAATATCATGGGCCCTGTGCTGTTCACCCATTGGGGAGAGGTGACGAACGGGGTCAACATGAAGGCGGAGGTTGGAATCCTTTCGCGCAATGTGCGGTTCCATGGGGAGATGGAAAACGCATGCTATGGCGGGAATCTTTGCGACACATTTGATTACGACACATATGGAGGTCATATAAAAATCCATCGTAACTTTACATCGGCACGGATTGAAAACGCTGAATTTTTCCACATGGGTCAGCAGCCTGTTCTTGCTGCGTACCCCATTCACTTCCACACGTGTCTCGATACCTCTTCAAAAGACGTTTACATCCGAAAGAACTCCATACATCACACGTTTTCGAGATGTTTGACCCTTCATGCAACTCACAACGTCACTGTGGAAAAGAACGTGGCCTTTGATCATCTCGGTCACTGTTTCTTCCTAGAAGACGGGGGAGAGCAGGACAACGTCTTCAAGGGTAACCTCGGTCTTGTCACAAGGAGGGGCACCCTCATTCCGTCTGATGTGGCCCAGCGTGTCGCCACGTTCTGGATCACCAATCCCGACAACAAGCTCATCGGCAACCATGCTGCCGGCTCCCAGGGCATGGGAATCTGGATATTGATGCCTCTTCTTCCAATTGGTCATTCAGCCGATATGGATCTTGGTCTGACGGAGCGTCAGTCACAGCGCACGCTTCTGAAGGCGTTCAGAGAGAACGTTGTCCACTCCAACGGTGACACTGGCTTTCGACTGGACGATGAGCTGAAGTCTGACGGAACCTTTGCCCCGGATCTGTACCATCCCCAGGTGGATCCGACCGATCCCGACAGCGCCTATGCACTGCTAGAACTGGACGACCTCACAGCTTATAAGAACACTGATGGTGCGTGGCTAAAAACTATGTACACGCACATGACAAACTTCAAATTTTCCGACAACGCCGTTGGCATCCTGACCGCGTCCTCGATCTCCGATGACGTCGGCACCCATTATGAAATCCTGGCCAATTCTACATTTATCGGGGAGTCGGAAAATATTGGTGAACCAGCAGGGAATATCACCCTGGAGTCGGGAGAGACCATTCAGATGAATCGTTCGGTTCCAGTGAAAAACATCGAGCACGCTCTCCTTGGCATTGCCAGCTACAGAGGACCACAGCACTTTATGAACATCACCTTTTCTGGTTTCAAGAACAGCTCCCTGCGGCCTGCAGGGGCCATCGGAAAGCGATTTTCCAACGTCTACTTCGGCTCGCCCATCAACAGCGTAAGGAACGTCTCGTTCGACTTTGCCGATCCGTCGGAGGGTATCCGCTTCTACGACGGTAACGCGACTGTCACCGGGTACAGGGACCGTGACGGTAACCGGCACAACACCCTGATGGACTTTGACGGCACGCTGACGGGCCACGCGGGCTGCACTATCGTCCGGCCCATTCCGTTCCTCATCAACGCGCGCTGTGTGGTCGTGCCCAGGTGGGGTCCCGGCACGGCCCTCTGTCCCGACCGCTTCTCCCGGCTGAAAATCTGGTCAGGACTGGCCGGCTTGGTGCCAACGTTCATGACCCGTAACGACCTTGGTGCCAGTGACCCGGATATCTCCTTAGTTGAGCAGCAGATGAGCTACTCTCTCAACTCTGCCGAGTCATACATTCTGCACTTCAACACCACTGTTCCTAAAAAGTTCAAGATGGCGCCATATGGTCTGCAGAATAACGTGTCCCAATTGGTTGGTGTGTGCGTCGGAGCAAACCAGACATCACTCCAAGTGGATCCGAACACGTACACGAAGACCGACAACATGACGGAATTGAAAGCTGATGACTCCAACAGCAAGTACTACTACGACCCAAGCATCGGTGTCGTCATGTTCAAGTGAGTTAACGAAAACACTCCGTTGATGTTGCCTTGATGACATGATAGATTACTATACTTTTAGCTGTTAAATGTATTCTAATCGAAGTCTTACAAGGCTACAATTTTTTGTTAAAAATTACAGATCATCATGGTGGATTGCTAGCATATTTTTGCACATGTGTGACATAAAAGCTGGAAGTAGCTCAAAAGCATCATAATTAAGTGATGTGCTTGCAGCATAAATCTTAACTTTGCAGCTTATATGAAAACTTTGAAAGCCAGCTCAGCTCTCATGCTGCCCCCCCCCCCCCTCCCAGCCAGAAAAGAAGCGATCGCACCGATCAGTCTGTATTCTGACCGCCACTGCGCGCCGTTGCAGGCTCACCAGTCCGTACCCGCGCGGCAGCAACACCTACTCTCACTGCCCGGGTACTGAAGACGCCGACCTGAACGGCATCTGCAGCCTCGAGATCAAGATCGAGCTGGACGCGGAGAATGATGATGGCGACTGCCGCTCGCGGGCTTACCCGGCCTACAGCACGGACCCCGTGTCGGCGACCGGAGCTCTCACCGAGCCCGTCTTCTGAGGGAGATCCTCGGACAGTGGAACTACTGGAGATGGCAGCATCTGACCAAAGGACCGTCCTTTGAAAGTTATTGTCTTTTGGCGCCTGTGTGCTAAGTATGTTCTATGTTTGCCAGCTTTTGATAGGGAGGCCCTTGCAGCGACTAGCGAGTCTTCTGAAATTCATTTTCTTACCGAGATTTTCTGGTAAATCGACCTTTTAGAAAGACTGATTACCGAAATCCGGACATTTTGCATTTATTAGTTTTTCAAGTTCTGTTCAATTATGTACGGTTAAAGTTTGTTGAATGTTTTCAAAAGTTTGGTGATTGGCACTTTCCCTCTTATGTTGCATTTTTATCGATCATGATTTCCCGGAGTGGTTTTTGTTTGCCGTGGGTTTGCTCAGAAGTCACTGTGTAGTGTGTACACTGTCGTCCGAAAATGTTGTTTGTGATGCACCTATCTTTCAATATACAGTTTTAGCAACAGCCTGCTTATAACGGGATAGAAAGATGGAGCGCTGTGTGGTGACTCCAGATGAACAAGTTTGGAAGCATTTGCCTTTGAGAGTAATGACCGATGACTTGTGACTAGGGTGACCAGAATAAGTAAATCCATGCACTATGCAGTTACTAGAGTACATACATACTCATTATCTTGGCTGCTTGTTGTCTTCGAGATCAACCTCTGTTCGACCTCTAGGTATTGTTAACCATGAGGTACTAAGTCTGATAAATTGCATTATTTTTTTCAGAACATGACCCTGATTGGAATAACGCTTTCTCATGAATGTAACATATTATGTAATGCAAAAAGGACCTAAAACTTGAACGATATAATGAAATTTATATATAGAAGATGGAACTTCTTTGAACGGTAATATGAAAGAAATGCTGTATTGAATAGAAACCATTACTAAAACCAGGCATACACGGAGAAAAATAATTACTCCCCCCGGGAATCACGATCCCCTATTTGGAAATCAACTGACACCCATGGTGTAATCCGATTCTGAAAAACAGTGTCCATACACCGTTTTTTAGTGTAAATTGATCTCGGTCAGAATCACATACCCAAGGGTCATTTGACTCCCAAAATTTTGACTCCCATTTTAGGTGTCGTGTCAAAAGATCCTGCACGGTGTCAGTGTAAAATAACACATCCAAGCGTTTTTGACGCTATCATGAGGAGTTTTTATATCCTTCAGGTGTCATTTCACACAGTTGAGCGTTTTCGCAATCCGTGACTCCCTTATTAGATGTACTTTGATCCTCAGTGGTGTCATAATATTCCGTTCAAATGACTTATTGAGTGTAATATGACCCTCGGTAGTGTCATAATATTCCGGTGTCATTTGAGCCCCATTGGGTTCAAATGACACCGGAATATTATGGCACCACTGAGCGTCAAATTACACCTAATAAGCGAGTCACGGATTACGAAAACGCTCAACTGAGTGAAATGACACCCATAGGGTTCAAAAACTCCACATGATGGTATAAAAAAAACACTAAATTATTACAGAAATTGTTTTGACGTCACTGGTGGTATGCCACCATCTCTTGAATCATCGTCAAGAGATTTTCAGTGAATCAGACTCCGAATCCAGCTCCGGCTTCCGATATCGACTCCGACTCCGACTACGGCCGGAACTGTCGTTTCCAACCGACTCCGACTACGGCCAGAACTGTCGACTCCAACGGACTCCGACTCTGAATCCGTAACCCTGGTGTAGGTTCAGTGATTTGAATCAATGTCCCGAGTGACGTCATGTGTGAGCTAGCCATGGCTGGTCCGCTACGAAGATGAAATAGGCAATAGCCCAATCAACAGGCTGCACTGTCAATTTGCGGACGAAGATTTGCGGAAAAAAATGCGAGACGAAGAAATGCGGAGACGAAGAAATGTGCGGACGAAGAAATGCGAGACGAAAAAATACGGAGACGAAGAAATGCGAGACGAACAAATGCGAGACGAAGACATGCAAGACGAAGACATGCAAGACGAAGACATGCGAGGCGAAGAAATGCGAGACGAAGAAATGCGAGACGAAGAAATGCGAGACGAAGAAATGCGAAACGAAGAAATGCGAGACAAAGAAATGCGCGGACGAAGAAATGCGGAGACGAAGAAATGCTCGGACGAAGAAATGCGAGACGAAGAAATGCGAGACGAAGAAATGCAAGACGAAGAAAGGCGGAGACGAAGAAATGCGCGGACGAAGAAATGAGCGGACGAAGTTTTGCGGACGAAGAATTGCGCGACGAAGAAATGTCATGCAAAGATTTGTCCGGATACGCTACGGTATCAATTGATTTTCGGTGACCCAGACTCCGACTCCAGCTCCGGCTTCCAAAGTCGCCGTCGACTCCGACTCTGACTCCGGCCACAACTGTCAACTCCACCCGACTCTGACTCTGACTCTGTAACCCTGCAGTGCGAACCACAGCTCAGGTCCAGTGGTTTGAGTCAATGCCCGGCCAATCAGCAAGCTGCATTGTCGTGTGACGTCATTTGTGTTCTAGCCATGCCGGTCCGCCACGAAGATGAAATAGCTCGACCTTGCAAGAAAACCGTTAGGAAAGCCGTTGACTTCCAGGGGTTGACTTCAGTTGCCGGAAGTGTGCCCACGTGGGTGCGTGTGGTGTGAGCGGGGAGAGGAACTTATTTGAATTAACGCGCTTTTAATGTCGCCAAACGTTGTAGATTTACTTTAAGTAATAGTGCTTTAACGATAAACTTCAGATATTATTTGTAGTTTGCTCAACATGCGTATTTAAACAACGAGGCGCCCTGCACTCGGCGAAATTTTGAAGTAGGACAAGATAGCAACGCACCATGGAGACGGAGGTAAGTTTTTATGTCATTAAGCTGCAGAATAAGGGCCGGGCAAGTAGCAACCGGGGTGATTATTGCTACTTACTCTACCTACAGGGTGGGGCAGCATAATCGGGAATAAATATCAAACGGGATTATTTGGTCATGAATTAAAAAATATAGCTCCAAGCACTATTTTAACAACATCCCATCAATCGGTCACCTTTTACCTATCCCTCATCCTATTTGACCGCCCTTCGCGTCGATGACCTTCTCAAGGCGGGTCCAAAAGCACGCGCATGCACGTGCAGCCTCCTGCTTGTCCATGATCGCCCATCAGCTTCGTACCTTGCACTGAAGACCGTTTTTACTGATGATAAGTTGTTCATTAAACTTCTACCAAAAAACGCTCCATATAAAGAATTTGGTCGGATTTAAATCGGCGGAGTTGAAGGACCAGAAGTTTTTGGTTCATCTCAGGTGGAGGTGCCCTACACAATAACATGTCGTCCTCACTGCAGTACCAGCACGGACAGAGTCCTCGTAAGACGTGATCTGGACCGTCAGTGATCCTCTCTTCCGACGACTCCACGTGAGTCTGCCAGAGTGTGGATGTATTTACCAGAGGTGCTCGTTTTATCCGGGCTCGATGAAGTAGGGTGCACCACGTGCACCTCCCTTGAAGACCACCCATAGGTCCATCACCTCAACAGGATGTTTACTTTGCATGACCGCTGCAATATTCTCGATACAATCCCCTATATGGCATGCCATTCTTTTTTATCGTATTCCAGTCGGTGATAAGATTTTTGGTCGCTGAAGTTTTGAACATTGTTTCTTTTTAATATGCTCAAGAGCTTCTTCCTTATATTCAAGTGAGTCATCTTGTATGTCCTCTGCTAAGAGTTATTTTACGACGATTACGTTAACTTTTTGTCCTAAGTATCCCCACACAATCCTTATCGTCCGTGATAACACGTTGACCTGTCCAGCAACCTTTACGTGGAATGGCATTGTTTTAAACAAAATGTTCTTGTTTTACTCGTTTAACATTAGTGTCTATGGGCGCGCGCAAAGCACTTGGAGCACCGTCGAACTATTTTGCTGCTCTTTTCCAGGAAGTTGCATGCTCATGGATGTAGTCATGTCAGATGATGCACAACTTTTGGGCGTTTCATTGCCATGATATAATTTATCAAAATAATGCCATGCCTACTCATGACCAGAGCCCAAAAAGCATTCCCGATTATGCTGCCCCACCCTGTAAGTAAGTAGCAATAATCACCGGTTGATGGAACATTGTTGAAATGTGAGTAATTCCTTACGGTGAATGGAGTCACGGACCCATGAGCCTTACGATAAGTTTTCATTAGATTTCGCCATACATTTCGTGCCCAAATGTTTTGGAATTTATTGTTGCATATAAAATAAAGAATGACATGCATGTATTGTTAATTTACGTCACGTGGTTAACAACTGCAATTATGACTCTGTTGGAGAGTGTATTTTGATCCAATAAGGTGTATGATTCCGAGAATCATTTGACAATATCTGGTATAAAGACTGATTGAAAAGAAGACGTCATCGTCAATAGATAAAATTGTAGCTGCAAGAGTGAAGACACATGCAAGCTACATTTAAAGTCTCGTTGCAGTCTGGCTAATCGTTCCTATAAGCTTCAGAAGCAGAACATATACCCATGGGTATGTTGGTTAGTTGTACCTATACTTTTGGTCTCAAGATAAGGGCCCAGGCGACCTGTTTTTCTGATGCGATGAATATACCCTTTATACCATCGCCGCAGCTCGGTTCGAGTGCATCCCTCACCCCTGCACACAACCCAATCCCCGCACTCGAATATTACCGGTATTTCTTATATAGGAGGCCAATAGTACCGGTAATATTGATATTAGCTGATGTATGACGCTAACAGGAACAGGCTCTGAGCCGGTATAGAAAAACCATCCCAAGAGTCATTTGACACCGTTGAGGTGACACCTACGAGGGGTGTTTTTTGAAGCGTACCAAAAATGCGCAGTTTCCAGGAGTCCGATTACACCCGGAATCAGACACCCCCGAGGTAATCCGACTGGTTGGGAGTTTATTTTATACCACATGTCGTCAAATGATTCCCGGAATCATACACCGTGTGGGATCAAAATACACCCTCAAAATCCGATTACTCCCTGAAGTGACACCTAAAAGAGGTGTTTTTTGAAGCGTACCAAAAACGCGCAGTTTCCAGGAGTCAGATTACACCCGGAATCAGACTATTATGACTCTGATTTGGGGTGTATTTTTATTCCATAAGGCGTATGATTCCGGGAATCATTTGACGCCGTACGGTATAAAAATACACCCTCAACCAGTGTCTTAATACCCTAGAAAGTGTCTGATTCCGGGTGTAATCGGACTCCAGAAAACTGCGCGTTTTTGTACGCTTCAAAAAACACCCCTTTTAGGTGTCATTATTTTTTTCAGTGTACGCATTAACCCTCGCCCTGGCAGGGCATTTTTCATAACACGGCCTGGCAGGGGGGGGTCGATGCGACCCCCCCCCCTCGTGATTGGCTCCTATGGCACCTAGAAACACCAAATTTGGTAGGTAGGTGGGCCCACTGGAGTTCTCGACCCTGTGCAAATTTGGTTGCTCTAGGTCAATATTTAGGGGGGTTTTGG